AGCCCCCCGCGGCCCTGCCACCGCCAAAGTTGAGCCGAGCCCCGTCCCCCTCCGGAAAACAACGGGGGCGACCTCCAGCTCATCCCGGCGAGAGACCCGGAGCGGACAGCTACGCCCCCCCCCTCGCCCCCCATCGCCGGCCCTCATCCCCTTACCATGATCAGCGTGTGGTTCCTCTGCTCCGCCGTGGCAGGCTCGGCATCTTGCTGCTGTTTGCTCTGCTGCTGCTGCTGCTTGCTGCCGCCGCCGGTGCCCGTCTTCTTGGCCCTCTGCTCCAGGGTCCGCTGGTAGAGGCTCACCGTGTCCCTGCGCTCCAGCTCCAGCTGCTCCGCCTGGGCTTGCTGGTACCTGCTCTCGCAGTTGACATGGTGCCGCCGGCAGCCCTCGATGCGCTGCCTCAGCCGCTCCACCACCGTGCTGTGCTTGGGAATGCCGCCGCTATTAGCGTTATTGTTACCGGCGGCGGCGGCAGGAGGACCGTGGGGAGTGCTGTTAACCCCGATACCGGCACCGCCGGCCCCGCTGAGGCTGCTGTTCAGGTTATTGTTGATGCAGATACTGCTGCCATTCGCGGCGGCAGCGGGGGCTGCAAAATCCCCCATCCTCTTCCCCGCGCACACTATTTTGGAAGAACTTTTTATCCTACCCTTCACACACACACAGTCTCCTCCGGGGTCCTGATGGGATACTTTTTAGAGAACCGGGGGGGGGGGGAGGGGGCACCACCATGTATCAGGGAAACAGCGATCCCAAGCAAATGTTTCTCTTTCCCCCCAGCCAATCCCTCTCGAGAAGCTCCAAAACATTAAAGGGGGGGGGGGGGGGGAGGGAAATAAAGAGAGAAGGTGCTAAAAGGTTATCACCAGCAACACAACCAACACACACACGCACACACGGGAGGAAAAAAAAAAAAAAAGCACAACAAACTAAGCAGCAGCAATTCGGGTAGCAAACTCCAGGAGATATCAGACCAGTTCCTTTCCTCCTTTTTCTTTTTTATAATCCATTATTTCAAAATAGATTCCGTGAGCTTTCCGGAGGTTTTGCCAAAAGCCTTCTCTCCCCATGTATAAAGAGAAACCCGCGCGCCCCCCCACATGCCCCCACAAACCCCCCCCCCCCCGCTCACACGCACGTTCGCACACACACATCCAAGCACAAGCACACGCTGGGCACACGCGGCACACTCACTCGCACTCCCCGGCATCAAAAGACAGGCAAAGCCGCTTTCTTATTGTATTTTCCTTCTAGAAAAAAGTTTTGGTGTTTATGCCGCACCGTGTTCGCAAAGTACTTTGGCTGCTCGGTTGCATTTCAACAGGAACCTAAATAGCAAATCCTCGGGCTGGGGGAAGTAAACACATGAACAATCCGGGCCGAGCTGGAAAAAAAAAAAAAAAAAAAAAAGTAGAGCTCTGAAGTCTTTGCAAAACGCCGAGCTGATAACAGCCTGACGCTTTGCTCTGCTTTTGCTTGCTGCTGCTCCTCCTGCCACCATCACAATGATCAAATGCTCTCCTCCTCCACCTCCTCCTCCTCCATGCCAGCGGAGTGATATCAGGACAGGAGCGCTCAGTAAACACCGCAGCAGCA